TGTGAGACAAATGCATATATAAATAAATATAAATATAGTAATCATGAAAATACCATCTCCAGTTGCGAGATCAGGATTGAAGTAAAACATTTCTCTGCCAGATATGCCAACTTGGCGACCAGCTTTGTAATCATTTCGTTTTTTCTCTTCATCTCTTAATGCTTGTTCTTTCTTCTCCTTTAGTTTCCTTTTCTTCCATGCTAAGAATGTCTCCAATGTTATTTTAGTCTATTAACATATTTAATAAATTACTGTACATTTTGAAAAAAATATATTAAATATTTGAATAAATCTTTTTAGTATATATATTATACTAATATAAAATATTAGTCATTGATATATTCATACCTGAGTTGGTCCTAAATTGGCTCGTTCTTTTTCAATTAAATCTTCTAATGAAATTTCATCCTTTTTATCTTCTTTCTTTTTATCTTTCTTAAGAACAAAACCAGGTGGTAGTGCATGCCTGTAGATACATTTTTGTCCTGATGGACATTCCCAAAACCAACCATATTTTGATTTTTCCACTGCTTCCAGGAAATGCTTACAAATCTAATATTCGAAAGATATTGTTTTCTCCTTCTTCTTCTTAATATAAGAAAAGCATACACAAACAATAAATATCAAAGTTTTGCAGATATGTACTCACAATATCTGTAGTGGGACGATTACCACTGCCATGTTTCTTTTCAACAACTTCTTTTAATTTATCTTCATCCCATTTATCCATTGTATCAGTTTCCTTATCATCATCTCTCATATCACAGTATAATGAACGTTTTTCTGCTTTCCTTTCTACACTTAAATCGTGAGAAAATTTGCATTTATCACCTTTTGTACATTGTCCTTGTTTAAAAAATGCACATACTACTGATTTGGGATCAGTTCCTATAATAGTTAAAGAATTATTATTTTAAATTCTGTATTACATATTTATATATAATGAAAAAAAACACAAAACTGTTATGAAAACGACAATTAATACTAATATAATACATTCTATTAACTGTTGGTATTCATATTTTGTCTTTTTACTAGATCTCTGCAAGAACCTTACTCAAGTAATACCTTTATCTATTTTTTGTGTTTGCACAGGCTTAAAAATGAGAGCTAATTCTTTCTGCTCCTTTAATTTTTTTTCTTTTTCAAGCTTTTTAATATTAGGATCTTCTAATTTCCGTGGATTAACACCACCTGATTTTACCTGCTTCTCTACTTGCTGAATAAATTTCTGTTGTTTGGCACCTTTCTTATTCTTTATACCAAAAGTCTTATCCTACAAGTAAAAGAGGAAGCATTACTTAGATTTAAAAACATTAAAAATAATAGATCTTAATGAGTACACATGTTCAAAATATAAAATGTGGTGTTTTAAGGTTAGACATCTAAGATCATCATATTTAAATACCTCAATAACTTTTTCTTTTTTCTTCTGCTCCGCTTTTTTGCTAGGAGCAACTGGCTTTTTGGGTGGCATTGCATTCACTTTTCAGTATTTACAAATGTCAAATACAGAAAATCTAACAGACTGTCCAAATGAGTAGAAATTTAATTCTGCATCATGGAGCAATTCATACACGCATTCATAAATGGAAATGTGTAGTAACAAGATGGGCCATAAAATACATATTCTATATGTGAAAACAAATCATATATTAAACGTGTTCACACAGATTGAACAAGTTTTTCTAAATATATTTTTTAAATAAACAAAATGCAATTTTTACTTAGAAATGTTATTTTATACTCGAAATATTCACCTTATTAAATATAAAAGACGTCATACTTTAGTGCTCAATATTTATAAAACAAATAGTTATAAAATTTCTCCTTGATATGACGTCCTATATTATTTTTATATAAATGTACTGCTAAATACAAAACTGAAACATCTTATATAGATTCATTTCTAAATATACTAGAAAATAGTGATTAATTCATTCATTCTTTTGCTTTAATATTATTGTACAGTTAATATAACATACTAAAAGTTGTCTAATATTTTCTCACACATATTTCCCTATAATTATAAATTATTTTATATATCCGATCAAAATTGAAAAATATATTAAAAAAATTTGCACAATTTTATGTGCCTTTTAGTTGTTTTTCTCTTTTAAATAAAATATTATATTTTAACTCATTCAAAGAAACATAAGATGGAGTCTATCTACTCTGATTGAAGCTTTCCAATCAATCTATTGTATACTCTTTGACGTTAACGTGGAGCGTGGTCCATTCCTTTTTTACTCATAGATTGTGGTTAGAACCGCTTTCGCTCAATTTCATTAAAGAAACGAAATGGCGAAATTCGATTTGACATCACGTATAGGCCAATATCTGGATCGACATTTAGTTTTTCCACTTTTGGAATTCTTATCTGCCAAACAGGTACAAGAATAAGAAAAAATATTTTTGCTACAAACGGCTTGGTTATAATACACTTGTGCTTTTCAGATTTATGATGAAGATGAGTTACTTCAAGCTAAACTCGATATTCTTAGCAAGACAAATATGATAGATTACACAATTGACATTAGAAAACAGCTTTATCCTAATTTAGAAGTGCCAGAGGTATGAATAAGTGTAATAAACGAAAATACATGTTTGCTAGTGTCAAGAATAACAGAGAATTTTAAATTGTAGGAATTGAAAGCTCGTCGTGCAGACGTACTGCAAGAACTTGGCACTTTACAAAATAATGTATCTGTTGTTGTGGCACTTATGAATAATGAGGAAGTTATGAAAAAAATGGAAAATATGCGAGATTCAAAAGCATTAAACAATTATCTTACTCAAGAATCTGATGTAAGTGTAATAAAATACATCAAATTTTAATATAATATTATGTAGTTATTTTTAATATACAGTAGAATGATAATTTATTTGCATTTTTATAGTTCAGAGTGGAAATGATGGATAGTTTTGTGAAGTTAGCAAAATACCGTTATGAGTGTGGCAATTATTCTGTTTCTACATCATATTTATACTTTTATATGCTTATAATGCCACCAACAGATAAGGTATGACTATAATAAATTTAGTACATATGAAGTAACATAAATTTATAAAATTTTTTTTATAGTGAAACATGTATAATTTTCAGAATTATTTAAATGTACTTTGGGGTAAACTGGCATCAGAAATCTTAGTGCAAAATTGGGAAACTGCATTAGAAGATGTAAACAAATTAAGAGAATACATTGATAGCAATGTCATAGGAAATTCTCTTCAAGTATTACAACAAAGAACATGGCTTATTCATTGGAGTTTATTTGTATTTTTCAATCATGCAAAGGGCAGAGATTTAATAATAGAAATGTTCCTTTACAGACCACAGTATGTTAATACTCACAAATGTTACTAAATACTATTCTATGTATGATCCAGAAGTAAAGATTATGTACTTTTTATTTTGCAGTTATCTTAATGCTATTCAAACAATGTGTCCTCATATATTGAGATATTTAGCGGCTGCTGTCATCGTTAATCGTTCTAGGCGGTCTATATTAAAAGATCTTGTAAAAGTAATACAACAGGTTTGTAGTTAGTTTTAGTGAAATTTTATAAAATTAAAGAAAATACTAGTAAAAAATTAATGAAATATTATGTAAAACTCTAATATTTATTAACAGGAATCTTATACGTATCGGGATCCCATTACGGAGTTTCTAGAACATTTATATGTCAATTTTGATTTTGATGGAGCCAGACAAAAACTGCAAGAATGTCAAACAGTTGTATTTAATGACTTTTTCTTGATTGCATTACTAAGTGAATTTGTTGAAAACGCTCGTTTAATGATCTTTGAAACATTTTGTAGAATACATCAATGCATAAGTATTGGGTACAATAATTTTACATTTTTAATTTTATAATTAAATAATAAAAAACATGTTTTCAGAAGTTTTTAATATATTTTTGTATTACAGAATGCTTGCAGAAAAGCTTAATATGAAAGCAGATGTAGCAGAATGCTGGATTGTCAATCTAATCCGTAATGCACGATTAGATGCCAAAATAGACAGTAAATTGGGACATGTTGTAATGGGTGGACAACCTGCTTCACCATATCAACAACTAGTTGAAAAAATTGAAACCTTAATTGTTCGCAGCGAAGCGTTAGAGAATTTAATTGAACGCAAACTGAAAGCTAAAAATCAAGACCCTGTAAGTATAATGTGGAACTAATTAAGGTCAGTATCATTCACTATCATTTTTCATGCATCAGTGTTTTTTCCCTCTTTTCAGTCACCTGATTAACTCAAAATGATTAAGATTCTCTCCATCAAGAAATCACACTTTACATTAACATATTTAATTAAATATTGCTCAATCATTTTTTACTAAACTTTTTTAACGATTACACGATTAGTTTTTTAACAGTTATATCATTATATACCATACATTTTACTCTTGTATAATGAGAATAAAAGGAGAGCCATATTATACTAATGTTTGCTCACTAACTTTTTAAAAAAAAAGCTATCATACTAAGAATTGTACTGTATTTGAATTGTATCCTATACAATGTACAAGGTATTATATATTCATCAAATCATCCATAAATGTGTAAATCAGAATCATAAAGAACTTTCTTTATTCTGAATGTAATTTTATTTTTATTGTTCTGTACACATCATAGCAAATGGTTTTGTTTTTTACAGTATCAAACTTCTTGGAATCTGGACTTGTGACATTACAACATGATGTGCAGAGATACTATCAAAAAAGGCACTTAACTCAAGCTGTAAGCAGAACATCCGATATTGAAATAATTCAATTCCATGTATGTAAAAAGAAGTCAGAAATATATCGCAAAACGAATATATTTTTATTCATACTTTTTTTTTGTTAAAAAAAAAATACATTGCATGAATAAAAATATATTTGTACAAATATTGTATAAATATACATGTGTACATTATAACATAAAAACTGTACTTTTTGTAATATGTACGCATTTCATCACAAGAAATGTGTTGAAAAGAAACATAATTCAGTATTTTTTCAATACTTCTAATTTCGAGTACTTTTAAGCGAACATTCTAATAAAAGGTTTTTATTTAATTTAAAAGAATATACTGTTCACTTTGTAATGACTTAAATAAATCAAACCAATAAAAACAAATAAAAGTTAAGAACTATAAATATGATTTAATGTTAAATTTTGTAGATTTTAAGCACTTTATATTAAGAATTTCCATTGATTTATACAGAAATAATAGAGTTTGAAATATGTACTTTTTAATAATATTAACAATATTATTAATTTCTCTGTAAAAACATGTATGAATGTGAAGTAATGTATACTAGAAAAATCTTTATTTTATGACTTAGTAAGAGATATAGCGACACGTATAAAAAAAAAAACATGGATATTGTCACGAATTATCATAAGTTGTCAATTTCGTTACCGACAAAAGAATTGTTTGATTCTACTCGAGGATCTTCTATATCAGATAAACCAAAACTACATCCGGTATAAGAATCTTGATTGATACAATATATTAAGACACTTCTCCAGTATGGATCTTGAGCTAAAAGTGTAGGGTTTCCTAAAATAATAACTAAAGCACGGGCACGAGTAATTGCAACATTAAGTCTTCGGGGACAAGCAACAAATCCAAGAGAGTGTTTGATATCTTCATTTACAAAATTAATTGAAGATCGTACGGCTGAAATGATGATGACATTTCTCTCTTGACCCTGGAATCCTTCAACGCTACTAATTTTTGGTAATTCCACATCTAACTCCATAAGTAACTCTCGAATTTGAATAACCTACGTTAAACAATAAATGAATAATGTGTAAAACGATTTTATAAATATTTTTTAACAAATTGTATTCAACCATTTTACCTGTTTTTGATAAGGTGTTATAATTCCAATGTCATCAGGCGAAAGACCACATTTATATAGCTTTAACAGATAAAGATAAACTTGCGTTGCTTCTTCGAGATTATACCAACTTGGACTATCATTATCTTTACAATTCTCCCCATTTACACCATGAAAAATCATAGCTGGTGGAGAATTTTTCCTTTTTGGTAGTTCAGCAGCTAATGTTTGTAAAAGTCTTGCTTCTTTACTTTTTTTACAAGATACCTGGAAACATTAATTATATACTTTTTTTTTACAAGATACCTTGAAACATTAAATATGAGAAATAAAATACTTATGGCATAAATAAACATACCTGTGTTACTAATTCAGAATCATAAAACAATGAACTTGATAGTTCGAGTATTTCTGGCAAACTGCGATAATTTATAACAAGCTTTGTGACAAGTCGGGAATCATACTGTGCTTCAAAACCATTAGGATCTCTTTGGTAAGGAAAATGTCGTAGTAATCTCGATAAAAACGATTCGTCTAAACCAAAATTCTTTGCTATTCTACTTTGTACAACTGGTCCAAGTTGCAACGGATCTCCCGCAAGAACTACTTGCCCGTAATCAGAGTGAATAAAATTAAGTGGAATCATGATTTCTGGTTCTGTTGCTTGGCCAGCTTCATCAACTAGTACATGTGAAAAATGACCACGAGGAAAACCCATATTGTATAATATTCCCAGAGAAATACAAGTACCAATTGTAATTCTATGGCGACCAAGTACGTTCATAGTACAATTTAATCTTGGTCCTACTCCGTTATACTTTGTTTTCTCAATTGTCGTTTCGTCTGCTAATTCTGCAGTTGCACAGTAGGGTAATAGTTTATTAGGTATAGAATCACTACCTAAATAATGATAAGCTATAAGCCGCACCTATAAAAAAAAAGTAGTTAAATTTCCATAAATGATATTTAAAAAAATTAGTTTATATTCCTATCATAATAATTAGGTTTTAAACAAAATAATATGTATATAACAGAATTAAAATATAATGTTG